AATGATAAAAGAAGGCACACTTTTGGCATACTTGAAGAGATGCTCCTTTAAAAAAGAAAGAATTCCATCCCATTTTTGCAGGTTTGGGTTTATTATTTTCTGTTGGGATTTGTTAAACTAGAAAGCACACGCTTCCAGTTGATTGAAGATGCTGGGTAAGTCTAATAACTGCTCCCGAAAGCAGTTAAGTCCGTAGAGCAAAGTTGTGTTCTGTGGCTAGAGACTGAGACTTCGGAGCAAGCTCTTTTTATTGCAGAAAAGCAACCTTGTCTCTTAATAACCTCTATGCTGACCCTTCACGGAATAATTTATGGCCAAGTGCAATCCGGTTTGCCATTATTCCCAGCTTATTGATTTCTTACTGGGCTTAAAGAAATAGGACACGTTCTTTCCCACCAGTCCCTTCTTTTGATCACAGGGTGCTTTTGAATATTACTTTTTTTGCTGCCTTTGTGGATGTATTTGTGCATTACGGTAACTCCTGGAACATCTGTTATTTTTAAGAGTGACAGTTACTCTTTCTGCTGCCAAATGCGTAGTGCAGTAGCTTTGGGTTGCCTCTGTAGAATTTATACTGTTTCTTACATTGCACAAAACATAAATCATGGCTTACTGAATGTGCTGGCTTCACATATTATGCTAACCCACAAGCAAGCAAACCATATGATGGCTTAATGCAGTATCTGACTAAGACTACAAGCATGTGCTGGGAAGTTGAGCTATTAGAAGTTAGCATTTATTTTATGTTTTTAATTCCTGAGAATATTGAGATCAGCAACTGAAGTGAGGCGCAGTGAAGTATTCCAAAGAGCCACTAGTTATCCCTGGCAGTCCAGCCATGATCTGCATGCATAATTCAACATCTGGACATTGATTCTAGTTTACAACTAAAAGAAACCTGTTCAGAATTGAAGAGCCTTTATTTTTTTTTCCTAATTAACAGAGATTCATTGTTACCTAGCTTCCTTCTCTCTGCTTAAAATACAAAATGCCCACCTAAGCTATCAGGCTAGAAAGCTAAAGGCAATTTGAATTTATTGTCATACATAATAATAATAAAGTTGGAAGGGACCTTGGAAGTCATCTAGTCCAACCCCCTGCTCAGGCAGGAAACCCTATACCATTTCGGACAAATGGCTGTCCAGTCTCTTCTTAAAAACTTCCAGTGTTGGAGCATTCACTGCTTCTGGAGGCAGGTTGTTCCACTGGTTAATTGTTTTAACTGTCAGGAAGTTTCTCCTTAGTTTTAAGATGCTTTTCTCCTTGATTAGTTTCCATCCATTGCTTCTTGTCCTGCCTTCAGGCGCTTTGGAAAATAGCTTGACTCCCTCTTCTTTATGGCAGCCCCTGAGATATTGGAAAACTGCTATCATGTCCCCCCTCGTTCTTCTCTTCATTAAACTAGACATACCCAATTCCAGCAGCAGTTCCTCATATGTTTTAGCCTCCAGTCCCCTAATCATCTTTGTTGCTCTTCTCTGTACCCTTTCTAGAGTCTCAGCATATTTTTTACATCGCAGTGACCAAAACTGGATGTATTATTCCAAGTGTGGTCTTACCAAGGCATTGTAAAGTGGTATTAATATTTCACGTGATCTTGATTCTATCCCTCTGTTAATGCAGCCTAGCACTATGTTGGCTTTTTTGGCAGCTGCAGCACACTGCTGGCTCATATCTAAGTGATTCTGTGGGCATGTCTTTTTGTGCTTATCAATGCTGTGAGGGTGATATAATTTTTTGCCTCAATCCATAGTGAAAGTATGAAAGGGTTTATTTGTTGTTTTAAAATTCCTGGATAGTTGAATTTTCTGTGGTTAGAAAGCGTTCTCTGCAAACCTGAAATCAATTAATGGTACGTTTAAAGAGCTGAAAATAGTCTAATGTACTCCGAAGTACCTTTTGGAAATCAAATGAAATGCCTTGTCCAGTCCTACAGATAAGTCCTTGCTTAATGATTGGACTTTAAAAAAAAAGTTACTTAACAACCAGTAGTGGGATTCAAATATGTGAACAACAGGTTCTCTGTGTGGATGCCGCTTCCCAAAGTCTATTCTGGGCCTGGGCAACAAAAAATTAGCTACCGGTTCTGCTGAAGTGGTGAGAACCGGCTGAATCCCACCACTGCCTACAACCCATCCTTGAAGTCCCTGCTGCACATATCCATGGTCCCATGATAGCATTTTGGGCTCTTGGCAACTGTCTTACATTTACAACTGTCAATTTGTGACAGCAAAAAATGTCCACAGAATATGCTAGATTCACTTAATGTCTTGGTGGATGACATTCCTTTATGAAATACATACAGTACTCCTCAAAATTTTTGAAAGAATCTGGTTTTTTTTTTTAAAAAAAAATCTTGGTCATGTAATCTAAGTCTTATCAGAAGGCTTACATACCATATTACCTTTGTGAAGCTAGATGACGACCTCCTTCAGTACTATAATTGGTTTTAATATTATTTCACTTGCGAGTGGAGATTGTATGTATTGGTTCAGAAGCCTCCTGCTTGAGCAGGAGGTTGGACTAGAAGACCTCCATGATCCCTTCCAGCTCTATTTTGATTGCTTGAAAACTCATTCTTCTGCTTGTTCATTGATACACAAGAAATGGGCTGGAGCAGGACAAATCATTTCCTTTTAAAGGAAAACACCGTCTTATAAAACTGACCCACCGCACTCTGCTCCGCAAATGGTTTTGTACATTTTGGGAAATGCAGGAGGCCCAATTTAATTATCTCACTTTAAGACTTACCAAAGAATACCCAACTGGAGGTAGAAGCTCTGTTGGGGCATTTTCTCATTTCTGACCTGGGGAGACTGAACTCCACCTGGCCTCCCTTGTCCCTGAGCCATGCATTTTGGCTGTGAAAGTGGCCAAAGGCTCTTTGGGATTAAGTCGATTTGTGTGCTAAAGATTTTTATCTTATTTCAACTCATCGGCATTGAGGAGCTGCGTTTAGACAAGTGCCAAGTAATGAGAACAGCCATGAAGTGCAGGTTGCTGGAGGGTCTAATTACACCTCTAGTTATGCTGCTTTTTCCTCACTTCCTTTTCTCCCATCAAGATGATAATTAGCCCTATTTATAGGGGCACTGGTTTTTACCATTCAGTGCAGTGCACCTTGTGCCAATCAAATCAATATCATCTGCATTTTTGATTACTGCTTAATAACACCGCTGAACATAGTTTAATTAAAGTAGGATAAAAATAGGTCTTATCTCTCTCTTCTTCATCTAACATACCTGAGTATCTGCTGCTGCCTCGCTTACACAAAATAAATACAACGTGCTTGCCTGCCTTGGAGACTGGCTCATCCTTACCATGGAGATCTGCTAAACCAGAGCTTATTCTGCTCTTTTTGCAAGATAGTTTGATTTCTGTTCCAAAGCCCAATTCATAATGCTGTTCTCGGTGGACATAAATGATATATATATAAAGGATCTGTCTATGGAGATTCTCAATCATCCAGGTCATGGTTATGCTTACCAGAAGGCAACTGGATTTTCTTGGGAGGTTTTTCTTTGAAAACATTTGGCTTGAGATATAATAAAGCAGTCCTCAACCTATGACCACAATTGAGCCCAAAGTTTCTATTGCCAAGTGAGACATTTGTTAAGTAAGTTTTGTTCCATTTTACAACCTTTCTTTCCAAAGTTGTTAAGTGAATCATTGCAGTTATTAAATTAGTAACATGGTTGTTAAGTGAATCTGGCTTCCCCATTGACTTTGCCAGTCAGAAGATCACAAAAGGTGATCACCTGGCCCTGGAACATTGCAACCATCATAAACATGAATCAATTGCCAAGCCTCTGAATTTTGATCACATGACCATGGAGATGCTGCAGTGGTCATAAGTGTGAACAATGGTCATAAGTCATTTTTTCAGTGCTGTTGTAGCTTCAAATTGTCACTAAACGAACTCTTGTAAATTGAGGACTACCTGTGCCCTCTCCTCGGATAGTTTTGTTTTGTCAGTTTGAATTGATCCATTCTTCAGCCTTCCCAGCTTACAGTTCTTTGATGATGGAACTTTCAAATCCTATGACTTCATTAAGGTCCAAAATACAAAAATAAATTAGCAGGGAACATACAGTAGTACTGTGATCTTCAGTCTGGTGCTCACATAATTCCTTGTAAATGCTTAAGTGCCATGGTGGCTTGAAACTTGTCTGGAGGTAGAAGGCTGGAGAAACGGTTTGGTGATGAAGGCACAAAATTCACATGTTCCCCCCCCCCTTTTTTTTTTTTTAAGCATGTATTTCCAGACAGACAAAGTTGGGTGTTAGAGGTTAGAAATGGCCTGTGCTCTTTTAAAATCTTCCATGGTTACACCTTTTGCCTGAATCCTGGTCCTTCTGGTTCCAACTAACAGAATAAGAATTGTTTGATTCTGATGTGATACCAATAATGTTATACTTTATTTGATGCAAAGAAGAATAAAAAAATTACATGCATAAATCAGATTTTTAAGTGCAACACAACAAAAATAGGTCGTCTAGTCTTCTTTGATGTTGGCATGGGTAGTCATTACCAATAGTAGGAGAAATTGCTTGTGAACAATAAGGAACTATCCCAGGTGGCCAGTGTGCAGCCTTCACATTGAACTATATGAAATTAATGGCAGTTGTTCAACATCTGGAGAAGCCAATAAAGGAGAATATTTGCAGCTCAGGGTTGAAATGAGGGGGGCTCTCTGAGCTTGCTTGTTTACGTGCAGACGTTTCATTACCCAAACTAGATAACTTCTCCAGTGCTAGTCACTACCACTGATGATGTTACCTAGTTTGGGTAAAGAAACATCTGCAAGAAAACAACCAAGGTCAGAGCACCAAGATCCCTCCTCATCTGGAGAAGCACACTTTGACCCTGTTCTAGAGATAACCTGCTTTAAAGGTTTTCTTGCTGCAAATCCCTAGTGGAGCAATCTGAATTCCCTTCCAATTTAAAAATGAAAAAAATGTGAGTTCCTGGAATCAAATGGACTGTTGGTTTCTTTGCAGGTGAAGATGTCCACTATGACCCAGAAGTATTTCCTGGAAGGTCAGACATACTCCGTTCCCCTCATCCAGCCTGACCTCCGCAGGGAAGAAGCTATTCATCAGATAGCAGATACGCTTCAATATCTGCAAAAAATCTCAGGCGATATCTTCAACAGGTATGGTTTGCTTATATTAGAACCCCTAGAAGGAGAGAATTGATATATATGTGTGTTTTAATAATGGTTCAGGACATGAAGAAAACTGCATTGTCAGTTGGTCTGGTTTTATTCTGTCCCCGGTAGGGAATCAGTGCTTTGAAAGTAGCTCTATGAGTTCTCATTTACTGTATCTGTGTACGAGAATCTTGAAGGAATTCTCCTGGGTATTGTTAGTAAGAGTGCAGTTTTCCAAATATAGCTGACTTTGGAAAGAGGGGTGTAATTTAGATTTGATATATGCTTTGTTGGTATGGGGGGGAGGGGGGATTAACCATTAAATTGGGCCTATGATATATTACTGTCACACCAGCAGCTACTGGGTGGTTTATTGTCATACTGTGTCTACAGCTGCATGCAAACCACAGTTGCAACCCTGGAGTTACAGACAGGTTGAAAAGATTCAGAAAGGGATAGGCAGCATGATTAGGAAGCTAGAAACCCAAGAAACGATTACATTAGAGCAGTGTTTCTCAACCTTGACAATTTTAAGGCATGTGGACTTCAACTCCCAGAATTCCACAGCCAGCAATGCTGGCTGTGGAATTCTGGGAGTTGAAGTCCACATGCCTTAAAATTGTCAAGGTTGAGAAACACTGCATTAGAGTATTCAGGGCATTTGAATTTAGAGCCAAGGTTGAATAAGCAGAGATCTAGCAGAGATAAAAACGTGTGGTGTGGCTTTGAATCTATGAACAAAGAAGTGCTTCTTCCTCCTCACCCTTGCTGAACATTGTCTATTGAAACTAAATGAGAGAAACATCAAGAGCCAGACTTCCAATATATAAATAAAAATTAATACACCACAATTCTCCCAAATATATTTACTCGTGTAAAGTTATTTCATCTCTCCAACTTTTGCAGCGTCATAAATATAATCATTTTCAAAAATGCATCCCTCGGGTACCTAATCTAGGACCAACATTTTTTCCTGTTGGCCTATGTGGTGAATCCAGATGTATACTTAGTTTCTTTATGGATCAATATAGATTAGAAAATGGAAGCTTCGAACTCATATTGATATTATTAATGACCGGCGCATCCTATCAGACTGTCCTGAAGGATCCTTTGCTGTGCCACTGGCCTCGATTCTCTTGCCTATTTAATATCCATGTGAAACCATTGGTGTCAGGCCCAAAACCGAGAATGATATATGATGATTTTTCCAAGCTGAGTTATTATTTTCACCTACAGACAAAATCCTGCCAGACCACTTTACTGTCTGCATCTAAAATATACTCTGAAGTTATGGTCTTCCTCCTCTTTCTCTCAAAACAAAATCAGAACTGAGTTGCCTCTTGCTTTTCCTCGGAATCCATCTCCTTACTATATTCCATCAGAATTGGTGAAGTATGATGTCAGGTGTCAGTAGTATGTTAGTAGTCAGCCTGAGTTCAGATTGAACAAAGTCAAGGTACTGTTGGATCTGGAGCAGACTCAGGTTCAGTTACAGATGGACAGAAGGAAAGGCTGAGAGTTCAGAAACAATACCAGTAATATTCCATCTTGGATATTCATGTTGAACTGGTTTGTAATCTGGATTTATAACTGCTGTTCAAGGAGCAGCTGGCAACTATGGCAGTGAGAACCTTTGAACAGTTCCATCTTGTGTTTTGGCTATGTTATATTTTGTAACAAGAGGTAATTTCTTCAATTCAGTCATGCCATGGCCATCTCTTAGATAGACTGTTGCAATACACACTACACAGGGCTCCCCTTGAAAACCCTTTAGAAGCTATATTTGGTCCAAAATATGATGGGCTTAGTTATTAAAGACCTTCTCATTTCATCAGCAAAACAGTGTTATTTCAGAAGCTGGACTACAGTTACTAGGTAACTTCAAGAGGTAGGTTGTCACCTTTAAAGTCCCTCATGACCTAGGTTTCTATGAAACTGCCTAAAAACTTCATGACTTAGGTTTCTGTGTTAACTGTCGGCATCATCATCTGATAAGATTTATTTATTTATTTATTTTTAACATTTATAAGCCGCCCCACTCCCGGAGGACTCTGGGCGGCTAACAATAAAAAACACATAAAACATAACAAAACAAACAGTACAAGAACAGTCATCCAGGGGTCAGATTTTATAAACCCTAGGCCTGCTGGAAAAGCCAGGTCTTAAGCAGCTTACGAAAAACGAACAGGGTGGGAGCGGTCCTAATCTCCGGGGGGAGCTGGTTCCAAAACGTGGGCGCCATCACAGAGAAAGCCCTCCTCCGCAGCCCTGCCAAATGGCACTACTTGGCCGACGGGACCTGAAGGAGGCCCAGCCTATGGGATCTAACCGGACGTAGGGAACTATGAGGTAGTAGGCGGTCTCGCAAATAGCCTGGCCCTGAGCCATATAGGGCTTTAAAGGTAATAACCAACACCTTGAATTGGACCCGGAGACCAATAGGCAACCAGTGCAGCTCACGGAGGATAGGTGTAACGTGGGTGTATCGAGGAGCATCCACTATCACTCGCGCGGCTGCATTCTGGACCAACTGTAGTCTCCGAATACTTTTCAAGGGTAGCCCCATGTAGAGCGCGTTGCAGTAGTCCAGAGATCCAAATAGGACATCTCTGGGGAATGTTATTATCAAGGACCAATGGACTGGGCCTTCTCTTTCATTGCCCCCTTTTCTGTAGAACAATTCTGCTAAGGTTTCAGAAAGCCATTAAGACTTACCTATCTCAAAGGGCCTTGGGTTGCTGGCATGAGCACGGACCCTTCCTGCATTGGTTCTGTTGTTTTGGTAGTTGGTTTTGATGTCCCTTGGAGCTGTATTTGGTGAGATTGGATTATTTTGTTATATCCACTACTTTTAATCCTCTTACTATAGTGGAAAGCCACTTACACTCCAAGTCATATACAATTGAAATGGCATGTGACTTTTAGCAACCATTATAAAACTTAGTTTTCTAGATGGGCTTTACATTTTTAAAAATATTGTCCCTTTTTTTTCCTTACAAACACTCAATGGGCTTGATATCAGATGTAAATAAACCACATAGATAGGTTTCTGTAACATTTAGGAGAGAGTGAATGGACGACTACAATGTTCTCCTTACTTGGGCAAGTTGACTTATAAAACACCAACATGCAAAATGTTAAAAATCACAGGAAATGATGACTGTGATATTCCTATATACAGATAAGATCACCCTTCTGGTTAATGCCGGTTAGGGGCAAGTAGCAATTAATTCTGTGACCCAGAGGTAAATGTCACAAATTGTTATTCTATTCTATGCAATACAAATACATAAAAGTCTTACTAAATAATATCCTCCCAGATGTTAATAATTCTAATTGTTATTGCAATCGGAAGGGTGTCCCCCTTCTCTTGGGTCACCATTCTTTAGAAATCTCTAAGTAGAACTCTTTATCAATAGCAATAGCTGGTAGGAATGGTCTGGTTTCTCTTCTAGGCTATTAACTTTCATAAAATTTTCATATTCTTTATCCGTATAAAGATAACCAGATTGGAGTATTTTAATTTCTGAACATTATAGTAATCTTCCATTCTTGTACTTCTCTTAACATACCTGTCACAATCAAATCTTGGAACACCAGCTTGGTTCTGCTCTCACTCTTGAGTACACTTATGACTGTAATTATTAATTCTTTCCAACAATAGAAGAGACTCCATCAGGTCTTTTGTTTCCTTTGCCTTGCCTCGGAGCTCTGTGATATAATTAATAATGATTTGGTAATTATGCAGGCCTCTGTCTAAAAGTTTCCCAACCTTGGGTGTTCCATGCCAATTATAGGGGAAACTTTCAAGGTGAAGTACTTGCCATTTAGTAGAGAATGACCTTTTCTTCCTGTTTTCTTGAGATAAGCTTTCTAGATCTCATATTTGTTTGCTTTTGTAAAAAAAAAAAAAAAAAGCTTCAGCTTATCAGGGGAAAACATTCAGTTTGAGCTATTAGAGTGAGAATTTGCTTTTTGAGATCATGGATCAGAGGGCCCGTGGTGAAGCATGTGCACTGAATGTGTCAAAAGAACTTGGGCCTAATATCAAACTGGCACAACAAATGTGCAGTGAGAAGGATTTTTTTTCCCCCTGTTCTAAAATTTCCTTAATGTAGAAGCTTGTTCCTCTGAGTGCAAACAGCTATTATCCCAAGGCTTTCTGCTTTCATTTTAAAAACAAATTTTCTCTGTCCCAGATCTCCAACATGGTGTCTGTGGGCACCAACGTGACTCAGAGACAACACTGTTCCCTGTAGGCTCTTCCCTTCACATCTGCTGAGATTCCTACCTCTACCCTCTAGTACAGTGGTTCTCAACCTTTTTAATGCTGCGACCCCCAACCGGTCGTAAGTCGAGGACTACTCAACCGGTCATAAGTCGAGGACTACTCAACTGGTGCAGCACCGTTTGCAGAATGGGACTTTTGGCAGGTTCAGCAGGGCAGAGACAGCCTGGACAATTCCTATTGGCTTTTGAAAGCCAATAGAATTAGACTCTATTCAAGAGAGTCTATTCTATTGGCTTTCAAAAGCCAATAGAATAAAAGGGAGTAACACAGCTAAGGAAAAGGGGGAAAAAATGGCGGACTGCGTTGTTTGGCGACCCCCGTGAAATGGTCGTTCGACCCCAAATGGGGTCCCGACCCACAGGTTGAGAACCACTGCTCTAGTATGTGGAAGATCCAACCTCAATTACTTCTGGAACATTAGTACAAACATTTCCAATTGTGATTATTTTTAGAACCTTGCTTTGCATTGCTTAGCTCGGGTTTGGGCCTTTTTTTTCCTTCGTTCTTTAATCCATTCTGATTCCACATCTTGTTTAGGACAGAGTTCTTCAACACTGAGAAACTAAATTTATCCTCTTTTTTTTGGGGGGGGGGAGATTCAATACATCAGTCAATAATGGACATATGACATGGTCTAAACAATAGAAAGGATATTGGAAACCTCAAGAAAAATATGGTGGGTTGAACCTCTGAGATGATAAGAGTCTTATGT